GATGCTTTCGACAGTGGCTACCCTGATTTGAGAGTCCCTTGATTCACTGACTGTTTCCATGGCAACTGCCTCTTTAAACCTGTTGAATGTTTTCATGGTTTTCACAAGAGCAACTTTAATTTTATCTCTGTTGCCTTCTGCAACTTGCTCAACTGATGAAATACGATGCCCACTGTGTTCTGTTATTATACATTCACAACATATAACAGTATCGTCATCTTCACAGTAAAATTTCAATTCATTATTAGCATGTATCTCACAACTGATGGTCATCAGTGCAATGCCCTGTGTCACACTTTTAACATCAGTTTCTTCACTTGGAGATGATACTTCCTGCTTCTGTCTCTGACTCAGAAGCTCTTTTGTTGTGTGAACACGGAAATCTTTTTTCAGTTTCACAAGTCCCTCTCTAGTGAAATGTATCTCTTCTCTACAAAGGGGGCACTGAAATGTCCCGTCTTGATTTGTGGTCCGTGTAGCATGGTCAGATATACAACCATAGCAAAATGTATGGTAGCAAGGCAGCACACGGGGATCCTCATACTCTTCCAGACAGATGCTACATGTCAAAAGTTTATCTGTGAAAGCTGCTGCTGGGGCTTCTGCCATTTCTGAATGTCTTTTTTAATGGTACAAGTTATATAGAAAAGTTATTGATTGAATCACTCAGTCAAAGGGTTTCAATTCCCTATTTACTTCCTTGCACTGATAACATTTATTAATAACACGTATGACTTGGCCTACCCAGTGACTGGCCTATTGTCAAGATGATTTCAATGCAATCCCTAAAAAGTGCCTTTTTTTCTTCTTGTCCCTTATAGAACTGCTCAAGGTAGAGGAAAATATGCCGTCTGTTTATTACCTGACGCTGACCTGACCATAGCAACTGTCAGGTCAATATGAGCACCCATTGTGTATTGACTGGTGATCGATCAAGTCGTATTGTATTAACTCTTAAGCTCAGGTTATAGAAATAGAGCCATCGATCAGATATAATTATGTATTTTTGTTCTTGGTTTGTGTGAAATAAATCTCCCCGGTTATCATGGCCTTTTTGATGAAAGTTTTCCTATCTATAATTATGCATTATAAACTTAAATTGCATGTTTTTAATGTGATACATGCAATATGCAATGCAATGTACTGTATTTACTATCCTTTTTTGATCTACTAGGCAGAGAAATATAATTTACGGTTTATTTCTTAAGCTGACCTGGCAAAGAGAAGATTGAAAGGAATAATGCAGCTTGTTGTTTCATGACACAGTAGTATTATGTTTCCACTAAGCTCAGGTTAAAGAAATAAGTTCAACAAAGCATGTACATTTGATTTCTGTTTGTGTCTATTTTTGACTGCAGTATCAACTTCTATCAATCGCATGAAATTATTCCCCAATTCAACACAACTTTTAATCAGCATTTAACTGTTTTCAGACTATTTGATAATAAAATATTAATTATTATAAAATTGGATTGATTTTTTACATGTGAAAAAAAAATTTTAAAGGCCTCATTTGGTGTAATATGTGGGAAGCATAACTATAATACTGAGAATGCACATGCAAAAATGAAACAAAATAAGTTCTATAAA